ATGGCGGCAATACTCCATGCAAGGGCGAATGGCTGATTTACAGATTTGAAGGATCGACTCCGGTGAGAAAAATTTCCTGGCACGGCACAGGGAACCACCTTTCCTAGCGGTGGACGAAGCTATTGACTCAATGTATTCGTTCCATCTCAGGTCAGCGCACAATGTGAGACCGAGCAGTCCCAAAGAGGCGCTCTCGTGGAATTGAGCGTCAGACATTCTAATGGGAGGCAGGGGTGGTTCTCTCTGGTGAGAGAGCAGTTTAAAGTTTAGTAACCTTTTACATTGACTGACTGTTCAGCAATTTACTGGGTGAACAAAAACGTAAAAAAAGTTTTTATTTTAACATTCGTTATCATTGCCTTAGATAGTTAATGAATATTCTTTTCTTTTTATATATATTTTCTTTTCCTATTGACATCACATTAAAAGGGAACAAAATAATTATACGAAACTCTATAATCATGAACTTCATCTACTCCCTGATAATTTCTCTTACAAATGTTTTAAATTATGAATTCTTGCCCAACGTTTACAACTTGACTACCTTGCAATGCATCTAAAATAACGAAAATGGATCTTCATAGATCCCGAATCGAATGAAAATACCGACTTCAGTGTGGTTGTTTTGTTGTACCCATCCCAAATGCAAAATTTATATTAACTTCATCTATTTTTATAAAGTAAAATAAATATAAATAAATATATAAAAAATAATAAATATATAAAAATATAAAATAAAATATATATAAAATAAAATTTATATTTATATTTAAAATTTATATATAAAATATATTATATTTAAAATTTATTATATTTAAAATTTATAAAATATATTTGTATTTAAAATTTATATATAAAATAAATTTGTCTTCATTTCATGAAGACAAATCTGCAAGAAACATTCAGCAAAATAATATATTGGCTTAGCCAAATAAATACTTACAAAGAAACCTGTGCACAAATCTTTCTCCTTTAAAGTGATTTCAAATAAAATACTTTGAAACATATACGTTCGCGTTTATATGCTACAGATAGTCATCACCTGGAAACCATATGTCGTTGTCGGACATTTTATTCACATATGCTAGACACTCAGATACGCACAGAAAGGAGGTTTTCTCACCCCCCCTACCCGTATACGCACCGAAACATTGCCACAAACTACTGAAGGATCTGACAGAGGCGTGTCTCCTTCGCATTCAGGGAGAAACAAGCGCGTACACTTGTAACACTACACCGAGGACGGGTTCGTTGTTCCGGTCACTAAATGTAGCACTACGTGCTGTGTGTTTTTCAGTGGTGACATCGGGGTCAAGAACCCGTAGTTACGGTACCACTACCCGGATGGGGACATGATGGCTTGATGTGTGAGTCTCTTTGCTGCTTCGGTATTTTTCTCCTTCTCACTTTTCCTTTCTGGAGAACATGTAGCACTAACGAAGTTATCCCTGTTACGAGTTCGGCGACATCTGAGATAAGAGACTCCTCACCCGCTTTTTGTTTAGAGAAGATCTGAAGAAGTCTCCAAGCAAAAGGTTGAAACATCGCAAGCTTATGTCAACCACGCATAAATACAGATTACAGATTGTCAATAATAATCGAAATCTTGGAACATTGACCAAGAAAGCGCAATTCTTTAACGACATTTACGAACAAAATGTAGTTTAACTGAGATTTTGGTTACGTAGGGGTTTCAAACTAGCTTCCTCCTTTCTGCAATGCTTGACAAAATGGTGGGCCGGAGGCGGCACTTGGGATCGGTCCTTCACACTACAGTAGTAGTGTTATATGTCTATTTGTCCTTTGTCTCGCTATTCAAAAGCAGAGGGTAATATTCAAGTGGCCCGTGTCTACGGCTGCAAACTGCTCTTCCCATAACTCTCTCGCATCTCCTATGTTTTTCTTCTCTTTGGTGGCCTCAGCAAAACCCCCTAAATTGCACCATCCAGTACACCCTTCTCTCTTTCTTTGCATATATATGTTTGTTTCTCTGTGTGTGTGTGTGTGTGTGTGTGGGTGGGTGGGTGTGATTCAGCTTACCGGTTTGTTGTTTATGATATACTGGTACGTTTTAGCAATTAGCATACATCCTGTAAGCGTTTCCCTTGTTACGGAGCGCATATAACCAGCTTACCACTTGACCGACTTCAGATAAACCTGCTTCCCGGTACTATTCTTCTAATAAGATCATCGGTAAATATGCCTTTATGTAAAGAAATCACATGTTTCATTTGTTAGCGTTAGCCAAGTTTTGAGAATTAACTTTCTTCTGTCTAAGAAACCACATAAATCTGATGGATATGCTTTTACATGAACATATTAATCTCGAGGATTTCTAGAGATAATTTTGTTTTATAATTTAGGCCCAAGCAGTAATTTATTATCATAAATTTCGGCTGGAATTGAAGAGTGTAGCAAGTGGGTACAAGGCCGTACCCAGATATACAAGTTATTAAGTTATTTCTAAGTTAGTATTCGGGTTCAATTCCATAATGCATCTAATTTCTCGAAACGTCCTTACATCTTTTTCTACATTCCAATAAACGAAATCTAAAAGTCTTATCTCACATTTTCCTTTTCTATACTATAAACCATGCCTTTCTACATTTAACTCTGTTTAACGACCGATGTCAAGCCTCCTTGAGGCTCTCTTTGCTCAACACGTACTCTCAATACGACACCCCGCTGCGTTAGCAAAAAGAATAAGAAAGAATTCTGGTAGTTATAGAAGATTAAAAAATCAATAGCCATGGCCACAGGTGATCGATATGACCGTAAACTTCTGTCGACATTGCAGCCAGCTCATTCCCCGCGACACCAAACCTTCCACGGACGCCGTCTTTATTCAGAAACGCTGCTGGGTTGTGGATGCGAGATGGGTTGAGGGGATCTGATAACGCCTCAGTAATTACAAACCGATGGCGTTTCTCCTGTTCCATTCGACGATTTTCGAGTCGAACTCGGGGCAATACACACTGCTGCTGCTGCTTCTGTCACTTGCAGCAATGGCGGAAATTGCAACGAGTTCAAGTAATGGACAGAAAATTACTCGTTTGGTGAGATTTATTAAATGTAAGGAAAACTGGCTTCAATTTTAGACAGCCATGCTCCATACTATTTGTCTTTAAATTCTGGATCCCGCTTATTTCGTGGGGTTCATATTAACAATTAGAAACCTTGACCCATTTAGACTGGAATGAGTCGCTTCGGCAGATATTCTTTTTGGAGAAGGAAAAGTTTTCTATTCTTATTAATTAATAAACTGACGAGAGAATGCATCGGCCGAAATATATCGAAACAACAAAAATTAAGATACTAGCATAACGAATTTATATAACAATGGTTAAACATTTGTTAATAGCACTTTCCTATCAGTATTAACTGGACTCCTAAAACATCACAGATTTTAAATAAAAAATGAAGAAAATATTTTTTTAAAATATTAAAAGTTCATTTTAGCGTTCATAGAAAGGAACACGACTCTCACCGAACTTGCATTAGACGTGATGAGTGCAAAAATATTGATTTTTCTCTGCCCAGTGGTTAAAGTGGTGACAGATGTAACGAAGAAAAAATATGAAGATCAAAAGAAATCAAATAACAAGAACGCGTCTGACAAATAACTTTCCGGTTTTCTGAATTCTTAGTCAAGAATTTCGTCTCTTTTGTTTACTTTTGCACTTACAAGTTTGTCAAAGATCTAAAATGCTTTAAAATGGTCATAAAATGTTCTGAAAAGAAGCAGCAAAACTGACCTTCTACGTTATGTTGTGGTGGTAGATCACGAGATAAGGAAATGTTTTTGAGAGGTCAGTCAGTCAATTATGTGCCATGCGTGATAGGCGATCATGTATCTTTTGATACATGACTGACGAGTAGGTTCTGCAATAGTCCATTTGCCATCCAAGGCTATAGAGCCCGGTCTGACCTGCTATTTACCCATAGCTGGAGAGAGAAGAAGAAGATTTATATCTTTCCCAAGGGTATTTGCACATAAATGAATGTAATGGATTCAACTGGAATTCGAACTTGGCTACTCAGATTCCTCACTCCGAGCCACTATCCATTACTCCATCGTTGAGAGCTGCAAGGGATAGAGGGAGTTGGAGAGCCATGATTGCCTACGTCCTGAAAGGACATGGCACATAAAAAGAAAAAGAAGCCGAACAAGTACTGTAGTTCTCATGACTTTGTGCCAGACATATTCTAATAAAATCTAATTTCATAATATTCAGTATTATATCAGTCAGTTATGTGCCATGCGTGATACATGACCGAGGAGGCCGATTTTTTTCCCTGCAGTAGGTTGCCATTTCTTTCTGCGGTAGACCAGCTGCCATCCAAGACTATAGAACCCGGTCTGTCCTGCTATTTACCCATAACTGGAGGGAGAAGAAGAGTCTTCATAACTTTCCCAAGGGTGTTAGCACGTAAGTGAATTTCAGTCAGTTATGTGCCATGCGCGATACAAGGTTAGGCGATCATGTATCTTTCGATATCTGACCGACGAGACAGATTTTTTCCCGCAGTATGTTGCCATTTATTTCTGCGGTAGACCAGCTGCCATCCATCGCTACAGAACCCGGTCTGTTCTGCTATTTACTCATAGCTGGAGGGAGAAGAAGAGAATCCATACTTTTCCCAAGGGTATTAGCACGTAAGTGAATTTAATGGTTTCGACTGGAATTCGAACTCGGCTCTCCGATTCCTCAATCCATAACCGCTATCCATAACTCCACCGTAAATAGTGTAAATAGGAGTGGGGTTTGTTACGTGAGCTTAGTGACAGGACGAATGCTATGTTGTTCGGTTTGATGAGGGTGTAGACAATGATGGTTGTCTTGGGCAAGGCGATTGCTAAAATATCGGGTGGTCATCAAGGTATTTGCAGTCGAAGTACAAAGATCGTGCTTGTCTTTGTTGGTCAAAGACGGAACTGGGTTTGAATTTGGCGATAAATAAATCTCAGACCATTTTAAATAATTATGATTTGCTTTACATCAGAGAGAGAGTGGGGAGGGAGAGCACACAATTAAAAAGAGTGACAGAAATGGCGGAAAGGAGAAAGAGAGAGAATTAATAAAAGGGAGTGGTAGAAATTGGGAAACGAAGACGAAGAGAAAGAAGAATCGTGCGACAGAAATGGAGAAAGGAAGAGAAAAAGAAGAGCAAGAAAAGAAGTGGGAGGAAGGAATTAGAATAGCGATAAAAGAGAGCAACAGAAATGTGGGAACGGTGAGAGAGAGAGAGAGAGAGAGAGAGAGAGAGAAGAGCAATAAAACAAAGTGATAAATATGGGGAACGAGAGAGTGATTGTGGGTGTGCAAGATAGATAGGTAGATAGAAAGAGAGAGAGAGAGGGAGAGGGAGGGAGTAATAACAGTGAACCACAGAAATAGAGAGAAAGAGGGCACAGGAAAGTGATAGAAAAGGAGAGAAAAAGAAAGCAAAATAAATACGTAAAATACGTAAGCAGTTTTATTCTTTTCAGTTACATTTGAAATTAACATTTTCTTCAAAATTTTTCCTCCAGAAAAAGAACATATTCAGGATTACTTTATGAACCGCATTTCTGTTTTCAACAAACAATTTCTTCGTTTTTATTATATATATATATATATATATATATATATATATATATATATATATATATCCAAGTATATGATTGGTATATACGAAATGAATTCCAATAACCAACAAATACTATTCTTAAAAGAGTGCTTAAATAAAAAAAGACCACTTTAAGGTTCCATGTAATAAATTATTTCACCACAGCCCTTTTTAAAGGACCGCGGATCATCAGTCTTTACTTCCAAAGGTTGAAACGAAAAATGAAAAGAAATTTACACATTTTTGACTGGCCGTATTAATATATGTAAATTAACGAAGTGAGGAAGTGAGGGGGAGAGAGAAGATATGAGTGAGTTAAATGTAATTTAATATTTCTATTCTTTCATACTTAAAATTACTTGAGGTCCAGACATTGACACATTTAAACGGTTAACTTAACGGAAGTTATATATTGATATAGAAGGGGTAGAGGAGAAAAAAGACATAAAAAGAAAAAGAGAGAAGGATTTACATTGAGCTCTCTGGATTTTATCCTCCTTGGGTCTACCCATACGGATTACCTAGTTTTTCATAAAATATATATATATATATATATATATATATATATATATATATATATATATATATATATATATATATATGTGTGTGTGTGTGTGTGTAGTCTGATTAACTTTAACCAACAAGGTCTATCTGTTTAATTTTTTGTATTTTTACAGTTTTCTATAAAGATATCAGCATCGGAATTTTGAATAAAATGTCCGAAGTTCAGGTTAGTTCAGTTGTTTTTGTTCGAGAATATTCGACTGTCTCAGTCATTATCAAGAACTAAGTAGTGTCAATGTGGTAGTCAAGATTCCATTGGTTACATCCTGCTATTTAAGATAAAACTGAAATTTTGAATCAGCTCAAAGCCATTTCAGGTGTAAGCTAGACTGCACCGAAAAAGAATGCATAAGATATGCGTTATTTTTTTTTTTCATTTTTTTTTTACACATATTAAATATTTTATAAACAGTTCAATATATCGTCTCCCGTGGTGAATGATATTATATTTAATGAGGGTTATTTATTTTTTATAATAATAACTTCTAGGCTTTTGAGGTTTTTTTTTCCTTGCATTAGATGCTGTAGGGTCTTTTGGTATTCTCCATTAAGATTTTTTTTATGTTGTTTGTGATATAATGATCCATATCTGCTCAAGTTGCACTAAATTTCGTCAAGTCAACCAACGAGAGATTGTTGTGGCATTTGTAAGAATTGAATGTTGGCTTTTTATTGTTGATATTGGAACGTAGAAAAATGCAGCTTATAAGAACGTAGAAAAATGCAGCTTATAAAAACAAATGCTCATTTCTGCACATTTTTAATAATTAAATCAAAATGTTCCAATGCAATCAAACAAGCAAGAATGATATGAAAGGTATTAACCCTCTTCTTCTCTCCCCCCAGCTATGGGTAAATTGCAGGACAGACCGGGTTCTATAGCCTTGGTTGAAAGTACAAAGGTTTGGCAAGCGGAAAAAAAGGTGAAAACCTGTTGTGACTTTCATATCTCTAGTAAACCTGTTTGTTTGCATCTATTGCTACACTATCAGCAATATGTCATCTGCTAATATAATTTGGCGTAATTACTCGACATTTACAAATTCTTAAAATATGTAAGCATAGAGCAAAAAAAAAAAAAAAAAAGATGGGGGGTGTCCAAAATGGATAAAACAAGAGCAGTAGTTACAGAAGATGGTAAAGTAGAGTTAATCATCTTATTTTAGGCATCCTAGGTACTGAATTTCCCTGTTGGCATGGTTTAAAATATTATTACTGCATCGCGTGCAGGGGAGCAAGGCCAGCAAAAGTGGCTATCTTCTTAGTGAATATTTACAGACTAATAATAGTCTAGTAATAATAATGTTAATATTAGCTGTTTCCGTATAAGGAAACATTCAGCACTCATTGACCGACCAGTCAGTGTTGCTGTCGACTGAAATTTATAAAATCTTTGTATTGAAACAATTTTCCAGAGAATTAGATTTCTCAAGTCCAGTAGCTGTTATCGCTCTTTCTAGTACCGAGGAGAGGTTTCCTACCTAACCTTTTGTTTAAAGTGGTATGCTTCTGTCGGCTGAAATTTATAAATGTTTCTATTGAAACAATTTTCCAGGGAAATAGCTTTCTCATGTCCAGTAGCTGTTATCGCTCTTTCTAGTACCGAGGAGAGGTTTCCTACCTAACCTTTTGTTTAAAGTGGTATGCTTCTGTCGGCTGAAATTTATACATGTGTCTATTGAAACAATTTTCCAGGGAAATAGCTTTCTCAAGTCCAGTAGCTGTTATCGCTCTTTCTAATTTCGATGAGAGGTTTTCTTCCTAACCTTTTTATTCAAGTGGTACGGAACGTCAATTAACTCCTGAATTTTCTCGTCGAGTTACATGTACTATCCATATTAGTTGTTGCTACTGTTGAAAGTTCTCAAGTGATGTGGTTTCTCTTATTTAGTACAGTTTTCTGTTTGTGATTCTGTAGCGCCATTCAAAAAGGTTTTAAGAAGTATGGACCTCTCTAACATTGATGTAATTCATACGCTCAATGCTATTTTGAAGCATTGATCTGATATAACAGTTGTATACAGTTGATAGTTTAGGCATTTCTGAACGGGCTGACGTCCATATGAAAGTTTCAATCTGCCGAGGCTATTTCAGAACATAACCCGAGTTTTCAGCTTAATCGATTGGTAGCAGTTGGCAGTTTAGGGTGAAATTAACTCTAGCACCGCCGAATTTATGTTCAGTTTCCTTATCGCCTGTACGAAATTTGTCGTAAGTGATCCATATATCAAAGTATCTAAAAATGTTTAATATTTATTAATTACATATACTGAATTTTTTCATGGGTTCGCTTTCATTCCAATTCCAGATCACAGTTTCTGTTTTGTAAAGGTTTGAAAGGTTTATCTTGAGTCCTACTTCTTGGAACAATTACGGAATGTTGATTTTTGTTTTTAAATTCTAGACCATTATTGTTCCAACTACGCCATCGACATATCCATCATCATCAGTACACAGGCCACGGAATGGAAAACAGGAACGCTGTAATAAACACGTCTTGTGTTTGTTTTTTTACGCTAATTTAAGCTGAACATCACACACACACACACACACGAGAGAGAGAGAGAGGGAGAGAGAGAGGGAGAGAGAGAGTGAGAAAGAGAGAGAGAGTGAGAGAGAGAGTTAGAGAGAGAGAGAGTGAGAGAGAGTTAAATCTGAAAGAAAAAGAAATCATTAGACGCTTAAACTTCATTTACATTTAAAATCAGTCCAAGTTATTAGAACACCATTTAGAATTCATTAAAAGAAGCATAGGGAAGAATTAATGTCATCTGTAAAAAAAAAAGCTCACGCTAAGAAGAGAGAGAGAGAGTGTGTGTGAGGGAGAGAGTGTGTGTGTGTGTGAGAGAGAGAGAGAGAGAGATTTCAGCTTCTCTCTTCCTGATGTTATGCATAATGTCCTTTTTCTTGCTGTTGTCTCTAGAATTATGTCGTTCCTCATATGCTTTTTGTCCATAGTGTCCTCAGTATCCTTCTGTAGAACCACATTCCTGTTACTTCATCTGTAAGGACATTGTCCATCATTCACTGCGATCTAGGAGGACAGATATCAAATAAAAGTGGTTTGCATATAACGAATTTTTTTTTTAATACTCTGCTTAGCTTTTGGAAGGCATCTTTCGCTATCTCAATGCGTTTTAGGATTTCGGTGATGCACTTTCCGATCTCCGTTAATACGCTTCCAAGTTATAGAAATTGTTGCACCTGTTTAATTTCGTTATCTCCAATCTGTAATTTGCATGTTGCGCTGTTTGTTTTGCTAGCAACCATGCATTCAGTCTTCTTGCAATTGATTATCATAATATAAAAGCAGAAAAGGAAAAAAAAAAATGGTGACATCGTCGGCAAGTGTGAACTTGAAACTGCAATCAACGCGGCGAAAAATGGTTTCATTGGAGCATAGAGATTGATTAAGTAACGTCCTACACGTTTTCAAAACCACCTAAGACGCCCACAAGCGAACCTAATAGTCTAAATAGATTACTCGACAATCAGAAAAGATTCAGAAGTACATTTCTACACTTTAAAAGGGACACAAGCATGAATTGTGGGCGCGATTATCTAAGGTTCAAATTACCTTAAGCTAAGACTAAACCATGGTATAAAATATTCCAGAATGATTTAGTTTCTAGACAATCATTTGAAGATATATGGATAAGAACGAATTTTAAGAGATTTTTATGTTTATACATTCTTTATATAGATACAAGTATTTAAGTAAAAATGCTCTGTTTTATAATAAACAGTATTAAACAATACTAATAATAGGCTACATGCCGGTAAATGTTGTTTTTTTTAAGCGTTTCACCCCAAGCAAGGCGTGAAGCCACTAGGACGCAAGGGGTTACAGAAAATAGCAAGATCAGATAGGAGTGATAGAAGAAAGGATGAGGGTAGTGGATAGATTAAAGCAACTAGAGATATCGATTGACATTACACTTGAATAGCTGGAGATTATAGCTCACAGGGAAACAGGAGAAGGGAAGGGAGTTCCACAGGCGAGAGGTGCGAGACATGAAGCTATTAGAGTAGAAGAGACGGCTACATTTAGGAGTTTCGACGGTGAAGGGGTGAGAGCGGGATGCCAGCCTCGTAAGGCGCTGGAACTCATGACGTCTGGGAACCAGCGAATGCAGCTCCTCGGAGCAATTTCCATGAAAGTATTTGTAGAACAGACAGAGGTAGGCGACGGCGCGTCTGTGAGAAAGTGACTGTAGACGAGACGCCAGGGCAGGGCCAACCACATTGCATATCCGCCTCTGGAGCCTATCAAGAACCCCGAGGCAAACAGAAGGGGCGACAGACCATATATGGCAGCAATACTCCATGCAAGGTC